TAGTTATATTTGATTTTTCTTCGAAGTTTTGCAGGTTATTAGTTCGTGAGAGAACTTCCATCTCTATCATATTTTATTATTCACCAATACAGAAACAGAACATCCTACCAAGGTAAAGGTATTGTGGGAGTCGGACAGTTCGTCCTCGGGCCAGGTACCTGTTTTAAGTACACCGATCAGTTGGACCATGACCGCTCTTCGAGCGGATTAAGGTTGTATTCTAAGAATTGAAACAATCACTGTTTTTTGTTATTGAGGTGAATTATAATAAGACATAATTTTCACAAAATCTTTTTGTGATAAAAGGCCATTTCTATATTCTGATATCTTAGCTTTAATAAAATCTTTTTTTTTTCTGTGTTGCACTTTTTTGGTGAAACATTTTACGGAATTTATTTTAATACCTATATGTTTCTGCTTGAAAATTTATCAAGATATTTACATAATTGAATAAACTTGGGTGAGAACTATGAAAATCAGAATTATAATGAGAATGGAATGATTCACACGCGTTTGTTGCCTACTTCATTAGGGTCTAAAAATGAAAGCCAAAAAAATAATTCAAGAAAATTGCCTATTTTTAAGTTTTTGTTCCGATATTCTGTGACTAAGCCCAAATTTCGGATTTTACGATACTACGATTGGTACAAATGGAATCTACATCCTATAATTTTTATATTCGGACACATTATTGAACAAGCGTTATGAATTGCCTGTTCAAAATCAACAATGACTGTTGAAGGTTTAAACATCAGATCCAAAGTTTTACATTTTTCATTTAACAGTTGAAATAATTTTGAATAACTTGAGCTGTTCTTGTTTAATAATAGCCATTTTTAAAAGCATGAACAGTAACTAATTGTAAAAAAAAATTAGTACAAAAAAGTGTCACATCGCAATTTGGTATCAATGCCCGAACCTTGTCATTTTTTGACGTTTGTATGAGAACTAAATTAACTATATACTCATGAAGGATAATTATGCTTATAAGAACGTTCGAACGTTACTGAAATAATTCTATTAAATCGATTAGGAAATAAAATGTTAACCTGGTCGAACTGCAGGGTGGGCTTAACTCGACCTTTTTCAAAAAAGGATTAATGCAGGTACTCGTGGTCCAACTGACCGGTCCCCGGTATTGTATACATCGATCAGAAGACAAGGAATCGTTGAATCAAGCAACATTTACTTCAATCAAGCAAATATAAACGTCAAATAGGCACCACAATATAAAATCTTGAAATGAGTGAAATTAAATAGTTTCAGAGCGAATTTGGTGTTCGAATGAGGTGAATATATCTTGAATGAATTCTGGATCTGATTGAATCAAATACACACATGAATTGTTCATGAAGATAAGATAAGATAAGATTTACCTTGCATGTAATTACCCCTTTGGGGTGTTTGTAAGAAGTACATAAAATAAATAAAAATAAAAAAAATAATGTTGAATTCGCTCGAACGTTTTTTTCGCTTAATTCAATCAAATATTTCCTTGTTTCATTCAAACATATTTCATCGAATTAAAAAAATATTTTATCGAATCAACTATAGTCTATAAACTGCTATATGCCTTTATAGATCTTCAGTCTTCTATACTCAGCTGATGATGCAGGGCTATGTCGGCTAAGTTCGATCAATCAAGTTTATATTTTGGAAACGAAAAATCAAGCTCCATGTATATTTAACATTCGAGGGATCCATAAATAGGTGAGAAGATCGCCATCTATAGTAGCAAGAATTCGACTTGATGTCGAACGAATGAAATATATCATCGATATACCTAATGCCTGTTCGTTTGTATTGCTGAACTTGCTGAAGTTGATTTTTTTTCCATAGTTGTCTCTGTTTATGGCATGATGTAAACAGAGAAAGTCATGAAAAAAATCAAGTTTTGCAGGTAGAGCAAGCACAAACGAACAGGCCAATTATGTATTCAGTTATTCTATTCAAGTAATTGCTACATCGAAATAAGAAAACTCTAATGTTGTTTCGAACAGATATTCTCATCAAACTGCAACGTGAATGCGGACGACCATGTTTTTCTTGTCGTAGGTATGAAACCTACAATAGTATATTGTTTAAAGAGCACGGAATGATAGTGATTTCCTACGAGAATGAAGTTTGCAGCATGAGCCATAGGCGAATAATAACACAAGTCATTGATGTGATATCAGATACGGAAATGAAATTGATGACATACAAAGTACCTCATTGTAGTATCGAACACAGCTGAACAAGAGCAATTTTGTGTATTAGCCGTAGGAAAAATATATTTCTATACTTATACAGAGAGACCAATCCAGAAATTCTGCAAGCGCTATTGTCGTGGTCACTTTGATTCAAAATGAAAACCTGAAGGATCATCTCCAACTCGAGAACTTTCGAAGAATCAATCAGTCATCTAAATAAATATACCTACAGGATTAAATAAGAACAGGTAGATTATAGGATCCATCTTTTGAAAGAAGTCTAATGCACCTGTATTGAATCATACATCATTAGCTTCTGTTCATATTGCTCATTGGGGTGATAGTATCATGATGATGAATGAAAAATCTACATCTTGATTGGAATATAAGAACAGACAGATGCAATGATCATGTCGCACATGGGCGTTGATTTGGTATTTCTATTCACTTCTGACTTTGTGCGAGTCTGTTCTGGAATAGAAATAAAGTGATTAATATATATCATCACAATCTTGTATATCTTGGGTGCCCTCAGGTAAGAATTATTCATTGATTTCTTATATTTCACCTCAAAATTGCGTTAGTAATAGAAAAATGGATATTGTATATCCATCAGGCAATACTGTAATGATGAAATAATTACGGAATTTGCTGCGAATGTTTTGATTGATATCGGTTGATATTTAGAATATGTGAGCTAGAATTAGAATTAATTTTCTAGTCAAAGTGGGACGAAGAATGAACTTGAAATTATAAACATATTATTCATCATGATCCCATATTAATAATCATTAGAAAAACTCAATGTCTCACTCCGAGTAAATTTCAATAAATTCGCTATACATGATTCGACTTCTAGTAGTCATCATCAGGCTTGTTGGAAAGAAGGAGAAATAACTTGGAATGTTATCAAAGTTCACAAATGTCTAATCAGCTGCAAATGCAGATGAAATTTTGAATTCGAGTTTCCTGAACAATCAGCTGAGCATTTCTACTCAATTGCTTATTTTCAATCAACGAAACCAATGAGTGATCAGTTGTTTTAGTAGAAAATCAAGACACTCGACAATTTGAGAAAGTCAAATGTCATCGTTCTTCGCTCTGATATATGTACACATGAACTGAAAAATAGGTACCAAAATGCCTGTTCTCACTAAGTATGTGATTCACATACATAAATAATTATATTACCTGAACACCTGAAATACAAATTCATGCATGCTGCCTCGTCCAGCATTGTATGCAAGGGTGATTATTTCAAGGAATTTTCTGTATTGAATTCACTCATATGATCATCATTATGATAATAATTAGAAGACTGTATGTCTAATGTTTTGATAATATCAGTTCAAATCAAGAACTATATCTTCAATCTGGTCATGATCATATACCTACCTATTATAAATTATTATCATGTTAGTTTGATTTTAATAATTGTCTCAAATTTTATCTTTCATAAAGTCTCGTCTCGTTTCGCCGATAAAATATGAAGTCGTGTCTCGAATCTCGCTCGCAGCCTGGAGTCTCGTCTTGTCTCGCGACTCGTACAAGAGTATCGCAAATGTATCGCAATTTCGTAATGCATAATCTTGTTTCAGTCTAGTACGGGATATTTACCTTTACCTACTTCTCAGGTAAAATGTAACAGTAGGAAGAGAAAATCACAACAAAAATAACATTATTTATTGAAATGTAAGTAATCTAAACAAGAAGAAAAAAACATAGCATCATATATTCTAGAGTTGTAAAACGAAATGAGAAGTAACACGTATATTCTAAACAAATAAACAAAACAAAAACTGTAATCCAACATTATTTTTCACATTTGAGAAATAGGTTTTGAAGAGAAGAACCTTTATCAGTCATATCAGCCTTCACGATCAGTAATGTTTTTGTTTTTCACCCAGTCGTTGAGACATGAAGTTATTCTTTATCTTAGACTATTTAGCACAGAATGACCTATTTATAGATTTTCAGGTATTCATTCAATTTGCGATCTGTCGTTATTGCAGAATTGCCGTTATATTCCGCCGCCGTAAGAGAGAGAATAGTCCGTTTTCTTTTCACGCATTACGTCGTTTTACAACAATCATGGATTGTGTTTTTAAAGTATATATGAATGAAATGTTCAGTCCATCTGTGCTTAATAGTCTGAATTCTTCCTAAATATGTTGTATTATGAATGAAATTCTCAAGTTTGCAGTCGGCACGCAGAAATATTCACCTGCGAGACTCTCGCACGAGACGTCTTGCACGACACTCGGGACGAGACCAATAAAAGTATCGTCTCGTCTTGTCCGAGTCTCGTCTTGAGTCTTCTCTCGATAACGAGACGAGACCATGCGAGACTCACGAAAACGAGACTCTCGCGGGCACCACTAGTTGAATAGCCAAATTCGAGCGTTTCCTTCCAGATAAGTTAGAAGCAATCGAGAATTAGTGACTTCCGTAATATCTTCCCGAAGTGTATATTTCAATACATTCGATCAATTTCGTATTTTATTTTTCATTTGATTTCTCTGTCATCATATCCTTCACTCAAATTCCGGCAACATCCAGTATATTATTATTTCGATATTGAATAGACGTCTGTGGGTGATTCGGATCTAACTTCGACCTAAGTCACATTTTATAATCACCTCATAATCTTGGTCTCCAATAATCCACAGGGATGGCTGGTGGTATATTGTGACAGACCACAGGGTAATGAGTAGGGGTTAAACCCTTATAAATACTGGAATCCACAACGCTGTAAGTAGTATCTCTCGAATTCGAGGTTTGTGTACATTCAAAATCAATTTTGTCGTGATGGCTCTTTCCTTAGAACAGAGCTCTTCTGAAAATAATAGTGATTCTGATTCCGTTTCCAATCACTCGTTTCAACATCTCACAGTTGGATCTGACAGAGATGTACAAGTGGCGAACAATGTGAAAGTTATGTATTCGTTCTTCGGAAAAATTAAAGAACTGGTGAGTAATTACAAACACTGTGAAACATTGTAACATATTATATAGCGCACGAATAGCTCGTCTTGTAGGAAAAAGTGCTCACGTCAACTCTTTGAATGGAATCACCCCGTATTTCTAGCTAAGCTTGAGTGGCCTCTCTAATCGAAATAACGATTTTTTGAATCTCATTGAACACAAGTCACTAGCTTATTTCAATGAACTATTTCCACTGATGAGCATTCTAATTCATTATCCAAGTCATGATCAATACAAAACAAATGGAACCCAACATAATATTCCACAATAATCTACAATATCTGGATATTAAATCTTTTTCACTTTGCATTCTACATCTTCAAATTAGTCTACCATCATCTATGACCTTTTTCGTCAGATCATTCTGCTTCAATCATGCACCCATGATTCTTACTTTGCTGATTCTTGATAAAATTGAATATCATTATTTGCTTTTCATCTATGTACCTGTATTGACATAATTGATCATTCGATATTTTTTATTGTAGTTGTAGATAAAAGAAACAAATAATGTGATACTCGACAAAAAACTAAGGAATCTGAATAATTGAGCCCATTCGAATGCTTTGAACGAAACTTTCCAAGAATATATAGGCAATTCTCAGATCTGGTTTCTGTTTGAAAGCTACGCAACTCTAGGAAGACCCCATCGAATGTTTATCACTAGATGCTCTGAATCTTTCTATTTATCATTCAAGATTTGTCTATTCAATATATTCTGTGAAGACTATCGAAACCAAGGAATCAAGAGTATATGGGGCACTTCTCATTTGTATGTAGAAGCTTATACCAAGTGTTCGCAAAAAAATCTACACTTTTAGGGTTTCCTATGAAGAAGTTATCATGTTTCATAATGTAGAATATTTGGAGAACATAGTTATCTAAAAAATAAAATAACGAAAATCGGTCGACCCTTGAATTGTCCCCATATAAGGAGACTGCTCGTTATCGTGGCCAACATCAACCAATTTCATAGACCTATATATTTAAGAAAGTATTATGCCATTTTTTTTTTACCAGAAATAACGATTGATGGAGGTAAATTTGAAACATACCTGTACCGGTTATCATCATCATTAAACACAGGGTATCCCATGAAACGGTACTTTTTTCATTTCGTGATCAGATCAAGAACTAATATCAAATCAATATAGAGGACTACTGTGAACATATTTGTTCGACTTTTCATCATTCAATACGATGTTAATAATGTTGGCAATAATTTCATCAAATAAAAATTTTAATTCGATTTCTTGGGCACCCTGTGATTAATAATTATGGAAAACAATACCTACAGGTATGTTGGAAGTGATCCTGATTCAAAATCCATCATTATTCTTCAACTAAAGAATTATTATGATGAAAGATATTGCTTACTTATCCTTCTCAATTTTCTTAGAAACATTGTATATTCCATGCATTGATGAGTATTAGTACAGTCATGTTTGAAGTAATCCACAAGTTGGGACACACTGTATATTCCGATTCGAGATCATATAAGTTGATTTCCTGCCTATTTTGGTTGACTCAGGAACGGAAGAAGACAGAACCTAATTCATGGAAGAAAGCATATTATCAAACAATTTTTGAAAAATATGATGATAAAAAATCATACTGAAACCTTAGTTGTATCGAAAATCTAGATACTCAGCAGAAGGCGAAACTTTGTTTTGTGAATAGATTATGCCACATTCAAGAAAAGGATAATATTTGGATGTAGAACAATATATTGAATAACAGCTGTGAATCATATTTATCAACATAAATGAATGACATATCTCTCAAAAATTTATATGCATTTCTTAGAATATTAAGTTTGGGGGCATCTGAGGGAGGCATCCGAAACAACTGTTCAGGATTTTACAGTATCTCTTTCTCTATATAAATATAACGTGACCAGATAACTAAGCCCCCACACCTTACAAAAATTTCATGCACTGACTTATTCGTACTGTTTTTATTGTTGTGAAAACCTCAATAAAATGCAGCCCTCACAAAAATTGTATTTGGTCACCTCTGAAGATACCAGTGGATACATCATTCAATCTTTGAGCATAATGATCTTTCTCAATAGTTATTCATTATACAAGGGAAAAAAGTAGTAGATTTTAGCCACAGTGTGTTGTGTTCATTCTTTCACTACTACCTACTATGATATTGGTATTTATTTTTGACAACTTCTACGCAACTAGAAAGTGCAGAATATGAAGTATTAATTGAATATGAAGTATCAATGAGATTAAACAGGGTTTGACCTTCGATAGGGGCGTAGTCAGGATCACAAGAGTTTTCCAGAGTACGAAATGAACCTCCGGAACTCTGCAATTGACTCGCCATTCCTAGAATTTACTACTCTACAGGCTTTGCCTTCAGGATATTGAAACCCCACATTTTTGCTATTAATAAGATTTCATTGTTACGAAAAATATTCACATCAGTTCAATAGTTTGGAAAAAAATGAATAGCCATTTAAATCGAAATATTATACATATAGTCACGTTTTGAAAGTTCAAGTCGATATATCTAAAGTATATGAGCAAAACAATTGGAACACTTTATCAATTCTTACACCTTTCAATCTCATACACTTTTCAATAAAACATTTAATTGAGTATCAAGAATTCAAAACTTATGGAAGAACATTTTTTCCATAAAAGTCAGGCACATATTCAGATATAAATGACGATTAACCAAAGTCGACAACCAACTGTATTTTGTTCAGCAACTTTGGTACAAAAATACTTATTATACAAAGAATAATATGCGAAAACCAGGTCAAAACAAACTTTTTTCCTGTACATGAGCGGCTAACGGTTTTTATTCAGAAATCGTCTGTATGACCTTGTCATTGTGCTGAGAGAATTTCGATGAAATTTTCAAGGATAGTTCGATTTGGCAATTTCATGTCGACAAATTCCAAGATAATTGTCCTATAACTATTACGAATTTGAGAACACCTGGAAGAGATAATCGAATTTAGATTCAATTCTAATCCATCACAGGTAGGATCCTTTTAACACATAATCTACGTGTTACCTTAGTCACACAAATAGGTACAGGGTGCGGCGGAGAAACTCGCCTGTTCGAAAAATGCGCTAAATGTCAAGGGGTAGAGGTAGGGAGCTGAAGAGGGTAGTTCCCTCAACTTTTGTTCCTCATACAGCCAGTTACGAAGATTCTGGACGACAGCGAAAAGCACGTTCCTTGTCAAGGCATACTTTATTGGCGCCGGAACGTGCCTTTCGAGCGCGCTTCAATATTCCTCTTCGCAGGTTAAGCTCCATGTGATTTCTTTTAATGGAGCTATTAGTGGTCTTTCGTTCACAACGAACGATCAAGTATCCTAGCTAACCTGAAAAGGCACATTCGGAAAGTCATCGCAGAAATACCCAAAACGGTAAGGGCTGAAGATAGGAAGCTGGGTGAGGGTGCCTTCGAGAAGATAGTTCCTCAATTCTTGTTGCCCCCACAGCCAGGCTCGATCATGCTTTGGACGAGAGAGCAACGAGCGTTTGCCGTCAAGGCATACTTTGGTAGATTAGAATAGAATAAAATCCTTTTATTTATCCAAGAAGATCATATATTTATGATATAGGACAAGCCATAAAAGTTTTTAACAATTTTCATCATCAATCAATCTAATGACCAATCATCCATCCTCATAGGTTCATACTTACATGCGCTCATCACCATTCACACAAATCATTCACGGATCCTGAAAAGAGTACTAAAGGTACTCTTCAGCGGAATAAAAGGCATTTTATATCGATCTGATAGCTGACATGATTTTTTTCATGTTTTTTATTTCATTGTTCAATTTGTTATGAGACTGTGCCCATATAATAAGGATTTGACCTATACAATTCTTATCTATGGATATCATATTGTAAATTATACCCAAATCGTGTTGGATATGTATGAGTAGCATTTTCATACACAAAGTCTGTCAAATTTTGTTTTACTAATTTCAGTATCAATTAAATGTATAAACAAAAGGCTGGGTGAGAAATTTGTTGCTAACAAATGTGGATTCACATGTTGCTCTATAAGATAGCCCAAACATATGTCTCATATCAATTTTTTGTAAAACAAAAATAAAACAAAATGGTAATGAGCGCTCCATCATTGTCGGCGGAACGTGCCTTTCCAGCGCTTTTCCATATTTCTATCCGCAGATTTCGCTTCATGCGAGGTTATTTGAAGTCTATCGCTCATAACGATCGACCATAGATCCTAGCTCACCTGAAAACAAACATTCGGAACGCCATCGACGACATACCGGTGGAGGTGCTCCAGAGAGTGGCGCGAGACTTCAGGAATCGATTCAATCACTGTATAGACAATTGCGGCCGTCATTTGATGAATACAATTTTGGAAAGTTGATTGAAAAGAAATTGATGCAGTCATCTGTAGTGAAAAAAAATAATTATATTGGTCCATGAAATAGTTTCGTTTTTATCAACCTTTCACGAAAGCAAGGTTCTCTGCTGCACCCTCTTTGTTCATACCTGTATGTAGGTACCTATCTGATGATGGTGAATGTTCTCATTTGAATGGCCAATCAGAAAACCATACTGTAAAGTGACATACTCACTATAGCACGAATCAATAGTAATTCTGGATCAATATGAAGCCATACTATATGAATCTATTTATAAGCGTAAATATTGAGGATCGACTTTATTATTCCGATCGTCATAATATTATAACACCAGTTTCTCCATAACACATTTTCTGTTGAGAGGTATACATATATTGACCAAGTATCGAAATCAAGATTTCCTCACTACTTCTAGTTGACTCTCAAGTGTGCATTCTGGGTTCCAGTTGAAGTTTTTTATCGCCTTTGGTCAGCATTTTCGATTCCATGTTGACATATCTTTCCATTTCATTTTGAGTTCCAATATCATATCACTCAATATACGAATGGAGTATAGGATGAATAGTTCATTTCAGTAAATAAAATAGGCAACCCAAAAGAGCATGATTGACAAACAAGTATTTTTTTTTTCATAGGATGAACTGCAGTATGGATCCTTCAACCCAACGAATAATTTGAATATCATGGAAACCAAAAATGCAGACATCAGAGAAAGTTCAGTTTACCAAAATAACGGTGAGTCTATCAACTTCAATATCGTTCAACATCTTCTCGATATTGAAGGCAGACTAAATCTCATCTCATCTTCAAGGACCCTACATAGTTTAATATCTATTCATTTCAATACAGAAACAAATTTTAGGAAACTTTTTGCTGCACCATCGTTCTTCATTCCTTCCAAATATTTAGTTCAATCGCAATTATATACTCAAGAATTATCAAATATGTTGCATTCAAATTCGGTATATGGTTTCAACTCCAAATAAGTCAATTTTTTACCAGAAAGTAATTACGGACGTTTCTTCCAGTGATGCGCAGCAGAGGGTTGTGATTAACTGTTCTCCCATATTGTCTACGCCACTGATTTCGAATAATTTCAATTTCTCGAATTCATAGTTCAATTTTATAAAAATATCTTGGACTGAACTTGAATGAACAGTTTTCGAGATATTTGACAATAAATAGATGTTTGTATTGTAGATTTTCATCACTTTCAATAGTAGAAAATAACAAATAGATTTTTGGTGATGAGTAGATCAGAAACTTTCCAGATTTCATGCAAAAAGAAGATACATTTTTGTTATTTTCTACTAAGTACTAAAAATGATGAATACTTACTTAATATGCAAAATACTATTTTGGATCTGATATAATTGTTTATTTTAGCTCAGTTGAAGGTAATGCATTTTCCGATCAAAATTGAACAATGAATTCGAGATATTGGAAATAATGGAAATCTCGTCAGTGGCTAAAAAAAATGGAAGGAAAAGTAACCAAAACCCTGAATGCCTATTGATTTCGATTTAGCCAGGTCACGCTAAACAACCACAGACCGGTTTCGAGCTCTTTGACTCATCAGGACAGTGTAGTCTCCAGCCAGGAAAGAATCACTTGTATTAGTATTCGTTTATACGTGTCGATGCATAGATTACGAGAGGATGTAATTCAATGTTCTACGTGGCAGTAGCCAGGAATGTAGTTGTTCATTTTATGAACATTGTGTGGAAATGACTTTGAGCTTTTTGTACTTATTCAACATTTCATTCCACTTTGAGCATTGTGGCTATTTCGTAGTTGAAATTACGCCAGTCGGGCAACCAGCCACTCCCGTATGAAAATTCCAGTTTTGGAATGATTCTCTCCTCTGTTTTACTCAGATGACGTTACTTTCATATTGTCGATGAAAGACGCCTCGGGGGAATATAATGCCGACTCGATCTTTGTTTGGCTAGGTTTCGCTGAGTCGGCGGTCTTAGGACTGCTGGCTGGAGACTACACTGCACTGATGAGAGCCAAAGAGCTCGAAACCGGTCTGTGGTTGTCTAGCGTGGCCTGACTGAATCGAAATTAATAGATATTCAGAAAAGAATCACTTGTATTAGTATTCGTTTATACGAGTCGATGCATAGATTTCGGGAGGATGTAATTAAATGTTCTGCGTGGCATTACCCAGGAAAGTAGTTGTTTTTCTCCCGAAATCTACCATTTTGTTGTTCATTTTATGAACATTGTCTGGAAATGACTCTGGGCTTTTTGTATTTATTTAACATTCCATTCCACTTTGAGCAACCCTAATAGCACACAACGTCCTAGGGACGTCCTTATTTGGTACAATTCACGTCCGAATGTCCCGAACCAAAAATAAGTGTCCTTGGGACGTCTCACCCCGTACATCTCATGGAATGTCCCAGCAAGGACGCCCACGGAATGTCCCAGCTGGTTCATCATTTCAAATGTCCTAGAAATAGCATCCATTAGACGTCCCACGTGGTACATATTGTGAAATGTCCATGCAAGGACGTCCTTGGCATGTCCTTGATGGGATAAGATTTTAAACGTTCCTTTAGGGACATCTATTGGATGTCCTGAGTAGTACACATTCTGGCATGATTTCCGATTTCATATAATGTCCGTTCTAGACAACTATGAAATGTCCCTGATGGTACATTCCTGCAAATATCTCTGCACAGACGCCCTTAATATTTCCAGGATCGTATAACAATCGAAATGTCCGTTAGGGACATCCTTCGAATGTCCTTTAGGGATATCCGTCGGATGTCCCAATTGGTACATGACCTGTACTCTTCCAATGTCCTAGAAATAACGTCCTATGGACGTCCCAGTCGGTACTTTCAATATGTTGTCCCTGCGAGGACGTTAACTTACACCTCGCCGACGAATGATTGCTCGTAGGCTATAAGTACTCCTCGTCAATGTCCTTCACGTAAGTCCATTGAACATCCTTGGGACACTTTTTGGGAACCTTCTACGGACCATCAACTCAACTGGATGTCCTAGTCAGTTATGCAAGATCTGGTCCTAGAGGGACCCAGAAAAATTCAAATTCAAGAATAATTCTTACGTCCCTAGGACAGCCTATGGACATCCAATTGATATTCCTTAGCGTTGCTGATAGGTTGTCCTATGGATGTCCTAAGCATGTCCTCTGTAGTGCTTGATGTGGAATACTGTAGGATACAGGTATTCGATAGTAGTCCCAGAGACATCCCTCAAGGACGTCCCTAGTTGGTCCTCAAGTGGGACATTTGTGCATCCCACAGACGTCCAATGGACGTCCACGGTACCAAATTCACACGTCCAATGGATGTCCTGAATGTCCCGACAGGACGTCCTAAGGATATCTATGGGACATAAGTGTGTTATTAGGGATTGTGGCTATTTCGTAGTTGATATCTTGAATAGTTGAAACTGGTATTTAGTGGTTTATTTATTCTAAGAAAAGCAATATTTTCTTACAGTCTCCGAATCCCAACATGGAAAAGCTCGTAAAACATGCTCACTAAGAAGAGTTCGCACTGCCTATTCTACTGAGCAACTCGTCCAGCTCGAGAAGGAATTTCATTACAACAAATATCTTTGTCGACAAAGGAGAATTCAGTTATCTCAAGCACTGAATTTGACAGAGAGGCAAATCAAGATCTGGTTCCAGAATCGAAGAATGAAAATGAAGAAGGAAGAATACAATAGCTCATCGTCATCAAAAGTGTTTGAGAATTTTAGGCAGAAACCCACGATAAAGGCTGAAAACGCTGATATCGTAAATCGCCTTCTGAATCACTCTGCTCTTGTACAAAGCAGATTCCATAACTTTGAAGGGTTTTATCAGAAACATGAAAATGAGTTAGATGATGTTCCAAAGTTGCCAACGCAACTTGAGAAATTTGACTCTGTTGCGTCATTTAATCCAGTAACTCTCCACAATGAATGTTATAATTCCAATCCATACCATAATAATTTGAATGTCATCTATCCTGATAGAGAAGAAGTTCCGAATTATAATTCACAGTGCAGTCAACAATTCAATTATAATTCTTGTGAAGATCAGACGAATTATCTAAAAAGTGAAAATCAAAACAATGGCTCAAATTATTATAGTGTGGACTACAATGTCTTCGATGAATCGTTTGTTACCAATCAGTATGTAAATACGTTGACATCTTTTGCCTTCTCCTGATTTGTTCCATCCTGTAGAGACCAATCTAGTTTCCTTATGATAAATATATTGTATATAGGTTTCCAATGAAGGAATACAAAAATGTAATATATACTCGATTTCAAACTATTTATGATAGCATCGAATATATGAATTAGAAAATATATAATAATAAATAATATAACAAATTCAATGTTGATTTTCTGCAAACAGCTTTGTACGCTTATATTCATTTGAAAAAACCTCTTCAATTTTGTTTCAGTCGAATATCTCTAGAATAATAATTCAACAATTTCGTTAAATAACTGGAAACACAACAACTAGGAGTTCTTGGGGAAATTTCAACAAAACATCAAACTTTCACAATTCAACCGACTCTCTATACAGAGTGGCCCATTGGAAACGAAACAGGGGCTCTTTAGGTCGCCAGATCTGGATTATAAAAAAAATGGTGAAACACGTTAACTTCATTCTCGAGTGAGACATCGTTCTGAAATATTTCAGCGCTGCGGCGGTGCCGCTTCTGTCAAAAAGTAGCAACAACTATGTTATTTATAATAGAATATGTACCTACTCTGTATTGCATTTATAGCTTTTTCCTGAAGAACTGAATTTATCGATACATTACACTTGGGGTCTAGCTAGAATCATTACAGAGTTATAGGGTGTTCAAAATCGAGATTTCTCAACATTTAGGAATATTGGTCAAAACGGCTCTATTTTTGATTCACTATCTACTGACATTGAATTGGAACAGATTCAGGGTGACCAGGATCTTGAACTACCTCAAATTTGTCCCACTTGAATGTCAGTAGATATGAAATCGAAAGTTGAGATGAAAATATGTGAGCCGTGTTGACCAACACAGAGATAAATTAGTGTAAGATTTTTACACATTTGTGTAGATTTTTTACACAGTTTGTTTCTAAAATGGTGACAGCACCAATTTGTGTATATTTCGCGCGATATTTTGTGTGAGAGATTTCGTGTATAACCAAAGAATTTAGTTTTGTGATTTTCAAAACAATTTTGTTCAAAAACCACACAAAGTTTGTGTACTTTCGTGACACCAAATATATAAAATCATCCAATATTTTGTTCGACAAATATCACCAATTTGTGTGATATGTGTGCACAAACTGTGTAAGTGGGTGAACTTAGCATTACAAAATTGTGGAAATGTTCACAATTCAATGTAGTGAAAATAACAAAAATTTGTGTATTTCTTGTACACAATTTTCGTAACGATACAAAAGTATGTGTACTTCCGTAGACTGTGGAATCTTCTCATTTATTAATGTCTGGCGAGTTGGTAAATGATTGATGATTGTACCCAATGATCATAGGTAGTCCTTCCACAAAATTATTTCATGTTTACTAGTGGCAAAAAGTGAAAGATGTAATAAGATGTATCAACAAAGTGTCGATTCTTTGTTGGGAACTACCTGAACTAGCATCAACATTCGCCGGTAAGTTATTTCAATTAAACCTACTGATTAGCTATTAGCTTCGACTTGCTTTCAATGGGTGTTGAAATTGAAAGCAAGTCGAAGCTTATTATTATCATGTATTATCGAAATAATAACTTACCGGCGAATGTAGATACCAGAGTTCAAGCAGTTCCCAATAAAGAAGAATGTCTTCGACACTTTGTTGATACATCTTAATACATCTTCCACTTTGTGACACTAGTGAACATGAAATAATTTTGCGGAAGGACTATACCTATGGTCATTAAGTACAATCATCAATCATCCACCAACTCGCCAGACAATAATTAATGAGAAGATTCATTCTGCACCATACACACTTGTAACACATCTACAGGTCAAGTGCGAATTCAGAATATTGAGATTGAGATATAAGTAGGTAGAAGGAGAAGGGGATAGGACGCCGTTACCAAGTGGAAAAAAATTGCACACCTGTGGCAAAATATTACACAAATAGTAGCATTATTTCAAAAGCGGTGTATTTAGTCAATACAATTGTGTGCATTGGATGATGTGCATATTTTTGTGTAGTTTTCCGCTACATGGATATGTACAAATTTTTCACAAATTGATATACACAAACATTTGTTTCATTTCACGAAATGACTGTAATGATTATTTGCACAAATGTTAAATAATACTTCACAAACATCTTTTACACAATGTTGTGCATAGATATGCAATCGCCTTTTCTCCCTGTGAATGATGATTAGTTTCGACACAAAAATCCTAGAATTGAGAAATAGTGATTCACACGAGACCAACGAGACGAGACTTTCATAAAGTATCGTCTCGTCTCGCCGATGAAATATGAAGTCTTGTCTCGAATCTCGTCTCGCGGCCTTCTCGCGCATCTCGTACGAGAGTCTCGCAGATTTATTGTTATTTCGTCATGCATAATCTTGTTCCAGTATAGTACGGGATATTTACCTTTACCTCCTTTCTAGGTATAATGTTAAAGTAGGAAGACAAGATTACAACAAAAACAACACTATTTATTGAAAAGTGAGTACCTTATAGGTATACATACTTACATCATGCATCTAAACAAGAAAACTGAAGTAGCCGGTATGCTCAAGAGATCTCGTGCAATCAAACATAGAATGGGAGATTCAGAAGCATGAATTTTCCACCATTGCAATATATCTGTGTTTTCATTACACCGAGGCACAGAATAATATCTTTGAAGCTCCTGCATCCATACTCCCGTCAAAACAAAGTTATTCTTCATCTTAGACTATTTAGCACAGAATGACTTATTTATAGATTTTCAGGTAGTCAATCAATTTGCGATCTGTCGTTATTGCAGAATTGCCTTTATTTTCCGCCGCCATTAGAGATCATGGATTGTGTTTTTGAAGTATTTATGAATGAAATGTTTTGTCTATTTGTGCTAAATAGTCTGAATTCTTCCTAAATATTATGAATGAAATTCTCAAGTCTGCAGTCGGCACGCAGAAATATTTACCTGCGAGACTCTCGCACGAGACACGAGAAGTCTTGCACGAGACTCGAGACGAGACCAATAAAAGTCTCGTCTCGTCTTGTCCGAGTCTCGTCTCGAGTCTTGTCTCAAAAACGAGACGAGACCATGCGAGACTCTCGAAAACGAGACTCTCGCGGGCACCACTATTGAGAAATCTCGGTTTTGAACGTTTTCATTTTCGAAGTGTGATACATCATGAGATCAGCTGTTTAGCAAGAATCTATGAATGCAATAAAATATACAGGGTACCTATTCTAAAACAAAGTTGTTGCTATATTTTAATTAAAACGGCAACGCCACAGCGCTGAAAATATCTGGTAACGATGTTCTTCTTGAAAATATAGTTTTCTGATGCGCCTGGAATTAGACAGATATATTGTGATGAATCAAGATACGAGAGCGATAACAAGTTCTGTGATGTAAAAACCTGATATTTCAATAATATTTTGTGAAGATAGATATAAAATGGTATTACTGTTGTTCAATTCAGTACAATACAGATTTTGTTGATATCAGGAAAAACACCTTCCATGTACCTATGTGATAACTGACTTCTGATGTAATAACAAACTCTCCAATCTTTCACTGAATGACTCCTGGAATGAACGGATTGAAAGTCTTCTGCCGATGAAAAGTAGATTTATTTATTTATAGTTTCAAAGATTGTCAGGATTTCACAATCGATTCAATCTACATTTCACAGTTCATTGAGTATACGACTAGGCTTTCATGAAAGTATTGAATATTCAATTAGACTTCCAACCACATTTATGAATAAACATGAACTACATTGTCGTATGTATCATCATTATATTTCTGATTATTTATCAGATTTCGATTTTAAATAGTTGATGAAATAAATGAATTCTTTGAAAACATTGTTTCTCTTGATGATCGTTTATCGCTGTAACGATGATCATTCGAGTAGACGATTTCTTTGCGGTTTCCTATGTTCATGAGGAGACTGAAATCGAATCTGTAGTTTGCAAACATAATTTTCTGGACCGTTCCGAGATCATCGCGAAAAACAGTTCTTTTCCCGTAACTCGAAAAGTATAAGCACATCTAATTTTACCGGAAGGACCATTTCATGATTGGTTGAAAATTATGGAATTTTCTATGAGAGATCGTATGGCACATGGATGTTGGAGTAACGAGTGAGGAGCAAGAGTAAGTTGAAAATTTCCCAAATTTGCGTACTGTTGAGAAAAAAGCATTCTTCGTTGGTTTTCTAAGATAATTCATAAACTATGTATTTCTTAAAATAACGCACGATGCACATATTGAAAGAGCAGCAAATTCTTTATTTGAAGTTGTGAAGTTTGCAAATAATGCGAGAAAGTGAACGGCTGTTGATGCACTTGGTCTTGAAGACATATTTAGGTCGCAGTTGCCACACTCGTGTGTCCCTTGCATGATGATATTTCTTTTTGTATTCTTTTTCTTTTGTCGTTGGGAGCGCACAGGAGGTAGGTATTTGAATTTTTTTTCGAAATTCTGGAGATTATATGTTGTTGGGAATACTTCCTCAGGCAATGGATTCCAGAGCCTAGCCGTTCTATGGAAGAAGGAGTTTTGATAAAGTGCTGTTCGACATCTCTCAAGGTTGACAGCGGAAGGATGTGCTGACAGGGCTTGTCTAGTTCGTCTGACTGGTATTGCTAGTGAAGGGATGATAGCAGAGATTTCCGAAGCACATTTCCAGTGGAAGTATCGATAAAAAAGTGAAAGGTCGCCAACCTTTTTTCGGTGTTCCAATGATGTCAATGAGTTAGTGAGTGTGGCATCACCTACCAGGCGAATGGCTCTTCTCTGGGTGGAATCTAAGAGCATCCGTGTATGTTGTGGTGCTGAACTTCATATGTGGAAACAGTATTTTAGAAAAGGCCGTATCTGCGCTTTGTAGATGATGAGAAGCTGTTGAGGTGTAAAGTAGCTTTTCGCACGAAACAAAGATCCGAGTTTTTGTGAAGCAGCTTTTGCGATGGATCTGACATGATTATCCCATGGAAGAGTGTTGCTGATGGAAATACCGAGCATAGATA